ACACTTAAAATCTTTAGACTATTCCTCACCCAAAAATCAAACTACACCTGACTCGGTCAAGCACAACGAGACGTGCCGAGTGAAGACTGAAGACCCTGGGTAACTTAGCAAAAAAAAAAACCTAGAAAAATGTTGAAACTATCCAACTCAAACTACCAAAAAACACCCCCCTCACTCAAAAATCTACTCATTTCTCCACCAAAATCACACTAACCAAATGCCAGCTATGACCTAAACCAATCAAAAACTTCAGGAAATAGGTCCTAAAATTGTATTCCAAAAAACCTCAACCACTTTTGCTATCCAAATACATTAGAAACTCCTCAAAATCACCCCAAAATACTTCTACAATATTCAGAATTCGAAAAATACTCAAAGAAACGTAAGAATAAAAGTAAATTTGAAGCGAAATGAGAAATTTACTATGAAAGAAGAATGAAAATCACGAAAGGCAAAACTTCTCGGCAGAAACGACTTCTATCTGGAAACAAGAACTTATGGAAAAGGAATGCCCCAAACACTTTTTCCCCTTTGCAATGCCCAACCTAACAAAGACAACACGTGGCACTAGTCAACTGGCCCTCGAAAGTCGTAACTCTTAATTTTTCCGCTCAAGACCTTTTGTCTTCCCGCTCAAAGTCTGCGAAAACCCTACTTTACATGCATCTCATTCTCCTAGCACCATCAAATTTCACTCAGATGAAAAATACCTCATCTGGATGAGCCAACTCATGGACTAATTCTTAAAATGTTGAAATTCTCCACTTAAGTTCTCACAAGCAGACTACGCTGGCAATCGAATCAACTAGCCGAGTGAAAACATCTACAAAGGATGCACCTCGCATCTCCCACTTGACTCGGTTAGCCGAGTGGGGACATTTACAAAGGATGCACCTCATATCTTCCCACTCACTCAGCTAAACCGAGTCGGGACACATACAATAGATGCACCTCCCATCATTCCTCAACAAAGAACACCTTCACTCAGTCAAAGGTACTCTCGCTCAGCCTAGGACACTGTCATCCGACCTGGTTAACCTTCATTTGGATTGATTACTTTCCAAGCTAGGTATTCCTTAACTTAGAGAGTGGGGGGCTAACTGTATGGGCCAAAAGTAGTCTTGGCCTTTATGAGGGCAAAGCATTAACATCTACTACGTGGCCTAAGGTCGTGGCCCAATTCCAATTAGGCCTGCATCAAAGTTCATATCATGGGCCGATTCACAACCTAAACCTAGATTCTCTCCAAATTAGGCCTTATCATTGGCCTATCCAAGGCTAGACCCATTGGACCACGATATCCTCTAAGAGTCCAGAATCCCATTAAAACCCTAATACATCTATTTCCTATTTGGTTTTCATCCTAATTCACTCAAGATCCTGTATCTTATGTGAATTAGGACTCTCAATCATACAAAGGTAAGTAAATCAAAGCCTTTCCTATTTACTAGAAATCAACTATTCTGGCCTCAGAGTCCTACTAGGATTCAAAGATCCTACATCCACTATATAAGCAGATGCCTTGCCTCTCATTAGGGATCCATCATTCACTACCACCTATGAGCTCCTATGAGTTCTTGCTCCTAAGAACTATATACCTTCATTGTAGTTCTAGTCTCCAACTAAACTTCTGGTAACTCTCCGTTCCTTTAATCCTCACTAAATAGCCTCTTCAACCTTGCTAACTTGAGTATCAGAGTGCCTATGGCAGACACCACACCGGTGTTTTATGTAAGCTTCGTGCTTGTTTTCTCTGTGTGCAGGTTCAGCGGATTATCAGTGGCCTTAACCTCATAAGATCATACCTTCTTCCGTAACTGTAGATTTTACCGTCTACACATGTGTCATCAACCATGTTCAACATCTTCTATTAGTTTTATGATTTTCAAGAGGGACAAATGATATCCCATAGCTGTGACAGATGAGGTTTTAAATAATTCTTCTTTTAAAATATTCTTTACATTTTTATACATATGGTGATAAGCTAAAATTGTTTAATTGCAAAATGACAAGGTTTTTGGACCTGAATCCTTAGAGATTTGGAAAACAAACACATACAAATTAAACCTACCAAATTACTCTTTCTTGTAATCCTTAATGAAAGAAAATTCATCAACTAAATTAATTAAATAGCATAAAATGATTATCAACAAACTTCAGCAGGATTCTGGTTCAAGCTACTTCTTTAGACATGCCACCTCAGTCATCTTCTCCACTAAAACCTTTCGATCGCTCGATTCCTTAGTAACATGCTTTATGTTTTCAACATCTATCACCTTGCTGGCCTTTTTAACAGGAAATTAAATTGAAACACACAAATAGAAGAAATGTTACAGGATTGACAAAACTTCAAGTAGAGAATAATAGATCTGAGTAGAATGACATAAATTACTCTATAGCTTAATGACACTCCATATAATTTTTTTCCCCCAGGGCACTATAAGTTTGATATGTTATAATAAACTATGTATTTAAGTTACCAGGTCTACATGGAGAAAGTGATAGAATTCTAGAGCTACCGAATAATCTGTTAGTCACAAGGAAGACAAAAATTCTAAGGACCTGAATTTCATTAAAATATGAAACTAAGCTCGTCAGAGGAGAACTGAAACTTCAATATTCTCGCATTCACATATAAGCAATTAATACCAATCAAATAGAAAACTAATCAATTTTGAATGCTTATAAATTGTATGGCCATAAAATGATTGCAGAAAGGACAAGTTGATATCATTGCAAATGCATTATAACAAATATCCTGTTTTACATAAAACAGCTTAAGCTTAAAAAAGAAAGAGAAATTCTAAGGAAACCAAATTTGATTATTTTTAGATAGAAGTAATTTGATGATATTTTATAGTTGATAAAGAGAAATAAAACTATCTTAGTTCTAGAAGTCATCAATGGTGTTGCTCTTGTCCTATTCTCGCTTTTGTTAGTTATTATTTTATTTTTTTTTTTTCAAAGCTCTGTTTTTTATTTTATCTTATATCTGCTTTAGCTTCATCCAACTTTTTAAATACAGAACCTCAATGGTGTGTTTCTGAGGTTCAACCATTTCATTACTACTATAAATTTACTGGTCCATTAATTAGCCTTATAAAGAGATTACTAATTAATTATGGGGCAACGACAGCACAGTTCCATCAGTTCACTGAAAAGTTTAAAACGACAGTTTCCCACCTATCCATTCTATTTTTCGTTAATTTCAACGCAGAAGGATATAATAAAAATTCAGTTTATTTTATTTTTTCTTCTAAAAACTTTTGATTTTTTTAGAAAACCTGCCACCGGCCACCACCTGCGCTGGCCACTATCCATCCTCTCCATAACCTCTCCGTAACACACACAAGCAACTCTACCATTTCAAGGACATAGGTCTTCAGAGCATCAAAGTGTACCCCCTCTGCTCCCGAGACGCAGAGGCTGATCCGTTCCTCAATTGCCTCCATTCCGTCACAATGCGCAAGTAGCTCCGGTTTTTAGTGCTCTTGAATGCCTTCCCAGCAAGTGGGCGGCCTAACATGATATTGGTGTCTCATAAACAGAACCACAATCAAGATATATCCTATGGAGGCTGCTAGGTTCTAATTAATTAGACAAATAACCCTCATTAAAATACAAACACAAACAAAAACAAGACAGTAAATCACTTCCAAATGGCAATTAGGAGTCGAAAAAAACAAAGATCGAAACTTGGCAACCACACATACAGCTGATGTTGCCGAGGCAATTCTGATTTATGTAAGAGTTGTAACCTTAACTTTCCTGGTTCAAAATAATCAGGCAGTGCAGGTGGAAGGGAAACACTCTTCAAGTACTGTGTCCAAATATAAGAAAAGAAGGAAAGATAAGAGAGAGAAAGGAAAGGAGAGAGAAAAAAAAAAGGAAGAAAAGAAAGAGAAGGGGAAGAGAGAAAGCGGCCTCGTGCGAGTGCGAGTGAGAGAGAAAGAGAAGAAGAGAAGAAAAAAAAAAAAAGAAGACGGAAGAGAGGAGAAAAAAATTAAGGTTTTTTCACGTTTTATATTGGAATAAAATGACATAATATCTTAATTACTGTTTGAAATTATCTATTCTGTCTACAGTTGAAATCGACAATGGATGGGTCGGGTGGGAAACTGTCATTTTGAAACTTTGTCGTCGTGGGGGGGGGGGGGGGGGGGGGGGGGAGAGGGAGTGGAACTGTTATTACGCCAAACCTTGGGTGGGAACTTGTCGTTGGCCGTTAATTATGTGACAAAACATATGGTTTTAGATTGTCCATGTTTGTAAATTATATAATATACGCTCAACAACTAAAACTGCAACTACCAGAGATGTATTTGGGGAGTCAAAAAAATTAGAATACCTCAGTTCTGCATCACTTACTGGCTTAATATATTACCATATTTGATTACTTTCAAGCAAATACATATAGCAGGTTGTGGACTTCGAATGTGTAGACAGTTCCCAAGTTTTGTGCTGATTGTAAACATGGCAATCTGACGGATTCTCTGTTCCCTTGTCACAAACTCGTCAATTCTTTGAGCCTCCCATATATCCACCACTAATCTACAGCACTCAGCAGTCATGAATGAGACAGCGTGGTTATTTGATGGATGACAAAACATTATTTCATACTGAATAAAGTGGCAATTAAATCTGTTAGTAATTAAATTTAAATAATTTTTGCTAACCCGCTTGTCTATGTCTATAAGATAAATTCATGTATACTAATAATCAAGCAATTGTCAAAGCAGAACCAGAGTCAATAGAAAGAAAGAAGAAAAAAAAAAAAAAAAAAACGAAATCTACATGTAATTGGAAATGATTTAACAAAATTTGTGGAAAAGTTTAATTGAATTGATATTAATTTTTACATTTGAATGTCACAATCTATTAGAAACTCTTCAACTCTATCTCATTACTGCCTAATCACAATAATGGAAGAACTTGCCACAATCATAATCCGTAGTTTTTTTTTTTTTTCATGCAGCCTTAGGAACCCAATTCGGCAGTCTTCACCAGTAGACTGATGCTAACGATAAACAATTGGAAGTTGTTTCAGTTTCTGTTACCTCATTTGCATAAGAAGAGTAAATCTGGAAATCATAATCACTTGAAGGCTCCGATAATAATTGAAACACCGAACTGAAGAACTCTTGACCTTGATGAAAGGAAAACTCATCGTCAATTGAAGCATAAGTTTCTATCGAAAAACTCAATTTCTCTGAGTATGCGGATTGTACTTGTTCATCTAGAGGAAATAGATCACCAAGGTTCGCAGACTCATTATCAGTACTAAGACCAGGAAAAAGTGCCTCTGTAATAGTTAGATTTGCCGCAGCGTCTTTAGTAAACGGATGGCATGGCTTCGTATTCAGTCCCTTGTTCAGTTGTTCATTTTGTACATTAAAACACTTATTAGACTGATGATTCTCATCAGTATGCTCAACTTCATGACATTTCCTCTTTTTTCCAAATGCCTTTTCCTAGCCAGTTTATCATTTCTTCGAATGCGACAGAGAATGAAGGTTTTAGCCAGAGAACATTAAGAGAGAAAAACAGAGCACCCAAAAAACTTCAACAAAAAAGGCATACACATTTTCATTGAAGAAAGACAATATAAAACAGTTAACAACTCTCTGCTAATTACACCAACTACAGCAAACATATTCAGCTTTTAAATTCAAATCTAACCACTAATATTACAGTCATATTACACATAATAAACTTGACTTAAATACCCTTAAGTAACTAAGCAACACATTATCACAAAAACACTCCCATGCACGTTGAACCACTGCTGCATGTAACCTTCAGCAGCTTTCCAAACACAAACTTGCAGACTTGAATCTTTGATGCATTTCCAGCAAGGAATCATTGCATCAACAGAGAACAAACTGATCTTGACCCAATAATGTGTATTCATGCATAATCCACTCTCCATCATGTTCTGACCCTTTTTTTTTCATACCGAAATCTTTCTTATGCCCAGTAACCCTGTTATCTTGAATTTCTTGGGCAACGTCTTCACCCTGCCAAGCACCCCAACCAACTTTCCTGCAAATTCTTTTGCGCTTACTGGATTTTTTCTTCAATGGAGTGAAAATGTAAAGATCCTCTCCCTTCTCTCCTCTGTAGAACTCCCGAATTTCCCAAGGTTCTCGACTTCCATAAAGATCGCAATCTTTGACAATATCACTGGACAATGGTAAACCAAAAACCTTGTTGTGTAAGTCATGACCAATAAGATCACCATCAGTTGGGCAAAAATTATACCCAGGAGGAAGAAAACTAGAACTAACCATTGTAGAGTTTTCTTTTCTAGCAGATTCAATTTAGAGGTGCAACTACTTCCAACGTGAAAATCAAAACTATATATGTATAAGATTCCCAAATACGACAAAGAATTAGAATGCTCTTAGCAGACCCAAGTTATTAAAAGTAATTGCATGGATGAAACTGGCCTAGAATGAACTCCTACGCTTTTGTAAACTAAAAAAATTTGGGAATAATTAGTCAGGTCATAATCTATACATGACTGCCACATTTATATGAATAATATTTGACCAAATCAAGTAAATAAGTCCTCACAATTATGAAAAATCATGGACATCAAGCAATTAACTCTAAATTTCATCTAATAAGGAGTGGCTACTAAAATGTTTGCATAGAGCATTTTTCTCTATCCGTTATCCATTACAGTACTAAGTATGAACTATGAAACATATTCAATATTTTAAGCCTTCTAGCCAGGGGTAGTCTAAATACCTCCTCAAATTTGTAATAATGTGGCAACATATTTTGGGAATTGTAAATGAACTAAAATTAATTGCTTTCTAGGACACATAATTTCAGTCAGTAAGCAATACCCAAACAAAATTACATTGATGATTAGGTTTGCAAATTACGTAGGTTATTTGAAAACCCTAATTATAGGGGTGACCATTAAAACCTGTTAAAGGCGCTTTGAGCTTTTTGAATTGCTTCTCAACGGTCACAATTATGCTACGCCAAATAAAAGTTGATTATTCTATCCAAGTTACACAATTTGTGAACATTATTGATTGGGATTTAAGTCTTGTATTTCGAATATAGATTAAAAAGATTAAATAAAACCATAATACTTTACTTTACTTTTACAATTTTTTTATTTTTTTATTATTTTTTTTTGTTCTGGATGACACAATAATGACGGCCTAACATATACTAAATATTTCAAACATTTTTATTCGTTTGACTTTTAAGGTATTTATGAGAATTTATACCTGAATTTTTCTTTAAAAATTTTTAAATCTTCTTCAAATAATAAAGGGAGATAACTTTTTTTTTTTTTTTTATGATCAGAGGTGTTTTTGCAGCTTATGTACTCAACTAATCCTGTCGGAACCCGAAACTGGTCAGTTGGTAAAAGCTTCAGTATCTACCTTATTAGTACCCCAATGGAATAAACTTATTGACAGATTTTTTTTTTTTGCTTTGTATTAATTCTATTGAAAAATCCATAATTTGTACTATTCTTTTGATACAAAATTTAAAAGCAGAAAACAGGATTATAACATTGAAATATACTATTATTTTTTCTAACCATTGGCAAACTGCTATTCTTGCAAAAACTTAATGGGTATAATCTTAATTTCTTTATCATATTGTGATCATGGTACGTTAATTCCTTAGATGGCGTTTACTCGTGAATTACACTGTAAAACCTAGGGGCGGATTAATGAATGACGACGTTGGGGACCACGGCCCCCATCAATTTTTAAAAATTTCAGATTTTCTATTCTATTGTATATTTATTAAATTTTATCTTTAAATCTTTGAGATTTTAGAACGAATAGCCGGCCCCCACGGTAAGTTTGGATTTCGTTTTGTAAAATCCCGTTTTTAATTCTAATATATGTATACATATTCTTTGTGATTTTTATTTTATGCAAGGGATTATTGTTTTTAAAAATTTTATGGGAGTGAAAATGAAAGGAATAGAGTGTTGGGTTTCCACATAATGGTTTAAATCCTGAATAAAGGGTGAAGCATGTACTATTTAGGGGTGAAAATCAAGTCGAGCCACTCAAACCTATACTTGACGTTGGCTTGACACTCGACTCCGCATTAGTCGAGTCGAGTTCGGGTAGTTAATCGAGTAAAAACTCGTCAATATATTCGCAAGTCTTTCCAAGCTTGATGGTTAAGTTGACAATTTTTAAAGTAATAGGGGTCATATTATTGAAAAGTTATAAACATTTACAAATCCACCCCTGTTAGATGAGCTGAAATCGAGTTAGAACTTGACCCGATTAAACTCGACTAAAACCGAAAAAGCTCGATTATACAACTTGAATTCGAACTTCGATTTCCAATTTCAAGTACCGAGTTCGAGTTTGAACTTGATTTCTCAAGTTCGATCAGGCTTGGAACTCGAACTCGAACTTGATACTATAGAGATCAAGTGAGTTCGATTTACCAATACTCGACTTGATTTGATTTCACACCTAATCTATTAGATGTAATCTATTCCTTTGATTTTGCATTTAGCTTTATGATGAGAAAGTATATTGCAATTATAATGAGTTGTCACAAGCATGAAGAAAAGATCAAGACCATGTAAATGCTATGGCCTTAGTCAAAGTCTCCAAAACAATGGTTACAATTGTGTAGAGATAGGATGGAAATCTTTGTTCAGTGAAATTTCTTCATTTTGCCAAAAACATGATATTGCCATTTTGATTATGGATGATATGTTTGCAATTCGAAGGCGCACGACGAAGAGTTGAGCACATGAAAATTTGCATCACTGTCGAGTTGAATTGTTATACAGTGATAGATATGCAACTTTAAGACACTTAACACTTGTTTCACTAAGGTTAGTACTGAGCTGCTTCTTTGTATGACATGTTTATATCCAAGTATTCATCTCTTGCTTTTGACAAGCATAAGTTGATCTGTTTTGCCCAGTTTTATCCAACTGATTTTTCTGGCTTAGGTTGATGGTACTGGAACCATAATAGGACTTAGTTATTGATAGGCGTTCTTGTGATGAATTTTGCTGAGTTAGAAGGAATTGGTAATTTTGGCTAGATTTGTAGTTTCAGTTTAAAAAGACATTTTATATCCGTTGGTTTATCCAACTGTGAAACTTGCATTGGTTTTACTAGTTGTGACTGTGATCGTTGAAATGACTTTTTCTGCAAGAATCTTGTGAAAAGTTGTTATATATCGAATGGAATCAATGATGAATGATTGCTTGCACCTATATTCAGAAAGATGTATTGATACAGTTGATAAGAGATAATTATCCAACGTTTTCAGAATATGAAAACTCGTCGAGGACAATTGTAGAAAAATTGTTTTATTTTTACCAAAATTGTGTTTTTTAAAGATATTTATTTGTATTTTGTAGCGTTTTGTTGAAGCTTATCATAATGAAAAAAAAATATGAATATGATTGGTGTTTAATTTTTTTTTTTTTTTGGTTTATTTTTTGCCCACATCTAGGAAATTCCGGATCTGCCACTGGTAAAACCCCTTCTAATTTTAATATATACTCTTTGGTTTTGTTTATCAGAATTCAGAAGGGACTTTTGTCAAATTTTTAAAGTTTTGGTTGGGATGAAAACGAAGAAATGGAAACTGTGGGCTGCATGTAACAAGGGCACAAAATTGAGGTTTTTGTAAGGAAAAATGATGTGTAGAGTTTTAGAATTAGAGAATTCGGGGGCATTTGTGTAAAAAAAAACTATTTTATATAAATCGGGGTTGTTCGCCAAATGAAGATGAAGAAAAAAGGGAAGAAGTGTTGGCCGAGAGGTAGGTGAGAGAGAAATGGAGTAAAAATGGAGGATGAGAAAAATTTGGGCAGATCACTTCGATCTGAGCTGGTGTGACACATGCATGGGGTTTAGGAAAACAAATTTCTTAGTTACTCCCTTTTGTTATAAAGGGTAGATGATTGATCTTGGTTCGTTTGTTAAGCGTCAAGGAAGAGGAGTACTTGAGACTTTGGTAGAGATCGGCTGAGTGAATAGTGAGTGGATTAAACCAAATCTTCTTCCAAAAGCTTAAATCCATGTTGCATGTTAAGTAGTGATTTTATTTTAAATGTCTTGATGAAAGTTTGAGAAAATTGTGAAGTTTGTTTAAATTGTTTTTCTTTATGCTTTCAGCTGAACTTTAATGTGTTTTGGTTTGTGTTTTAAGTGAAATTTTTGCTTGATAAATGGCCCTGCATGCTCTTGGTTTGGATCACTTTGGAAGTATGTGTGAATGTGTGATTTGATGAGATGTTTTATCTGTCAGATACCCTTGCATGTTGTCGGCTAAGTTAGTTTTGGGTAAGCTTTGTTTGTCAAATGCTTGGAAATGTTTTGTTTTATCTGGGTACGGAGGAATGTAATGTTATGTAGTGGGAGGACGAAGATGAGTATTTGGAGAGGGATTTGACTTGCAGTAAATGAGTTTTAAGTGTGCTTTTTTTTATTATGTTAAAAACATGCAATTGTCTTTATATTATTCATCTTGTCTGTTAGACTTGGTAGGACTGGTCCCCTATCAGCTACCAAGTTTGGGCTCGATTGGGACCAATCACTCATAGGCACTGGGACTGGCCTAGACCATAGAAATTTTTAGGGCCTAGGTATTAGTCTAGGAACTGGTTTTATGGGCCTGTAAATTCTTCCACCCCCAAACTTTTTATTTAGGGGCCTAAAAAATTATGTAGGAGGGTTTATGTAATTTTTTAGTGTCCTGAAAAAAATTTCCACCCCAGGTTTAGTAAATTTTGCAAAATATTGCGAGTTTATAGATATTTGAGGACTTTTTTTAAAAGTGCAAAGGGGTTTAGACCGAGCCGGGACTGATCCATGTAATAACTGCTTTCACATACTGTATTCAGCAAAACACATACAAATAAACTAAAGGTACATAATACAAATATGGGCCCAAAGTTTTCTTCATTAATGATACATAGTCTTTACATAAATTTAGATCATGTACAAAAGTTCTCAAAGTGGGTGGACAGTGTAACTACTCTCCTCTCGCCCGCTGACGTCCATCCGACAGGTACTCACTGGCTGGAAACCGCAAAACATATAAAACAAGGGGTAGCACAACTATATGCTCAGTAAGTAATCCTCTACTTGTCTATCCCCTGTAACACTTTCTCTTAATTCTTTCCTTACACTATTTTTTTTTCTACATCTCTGTTCTCTTTCCTGTTTCTGTTTCTGCATATTCTTTACTATACACCCTCTGGTGTATGTCACGGCCTCTCTTACTGGAGGCACGGTCAGGAACTCAACCCGTTTTTCGT